TGCTATGGGGAGCGTAAATACGCAGTGGGACATAGGCATGGGGTGCGTAGTGGGTGTCTCTACACCTTTGAATAATGATCTTCGAGATTGGGGAACAAATTTATTTCGAACACGGTGGATGCTCGCGTATCGAATATGTGGACGGGGGTGACTTCCACGGCCGAGCAAACCGTTGCTTTAAAGCGATAAAAAATCGAAGCGTTTACTAATTATCCGGTGTTCGGGTTGATGGGCAACGAATACAAGGTCACCGCGCAAGCACGAGGTAGCCATTTCAGGAAGGGCCATGTGTAAATTGATGGAATTAGAGTGAACTGGATGTATTTTCGTACAAGAGGAGCACCCCTTTCTGGATGCTTATTTATAGAATCAACTTGGCTGAGCGATTTTAGAAATTCATTTGTCTATCCCGATAGAAATTTATTAGATTTTCACGTTCCATTTTCGAATTTACATCTTACGGTATCAATTGGCGGCGTCTCGGAAACGACGGTATTCTTTTATTCTGTTTCGTTAAAAAATACGTTTCGACACGATTCTTCGGCAGCGGTCTAAAAATATGATAAAACGACCTTCGAGGTTTTGCCGCGGCACATACATCCTCCAACAGATCGCCGAGCGAAATTTTCTAAGGTGTCAGTGATTGGTTTCCTGGGAGAATGTGATAGACAGAATAGTTTTCTGTCGAAGAAAAGATGTGCTCGACGAAAGTTCGACACAGGATTGTCGACGCCGTAACATTTTATTCCGACGCTTATGTTGGTTATAATGCTCCATAGAATTCTGCACGTGTAGACGCCTATCGTGAGAACATTAGAAGTATCAACAGGAGTTTATTAGTGTCTGCGAGTCGACGTCTCGAAATAGATACGGACCATTGGACTCTGTCGAGGGCATAGTCATCGCAAAACTGTTACAGAGTCGACGGACTGTTACGTTAACGTTCGTCATAAAGCGTCGAAACGCTTCGACGAAGTTATCATTGACTTCGTGACTTGCATTCTAGCTTGCTCTATTGGCGGCTGAACTACTTTGGCCGGAGTAACTTCGAATATTTATGTTACGTCGATTATCTAGAAGACAATATTTTGCTTCTGGCAGTAATCGGCAGATAATTTCAGATTTTCGGACGCTGTTGCATGCATTCGCGTTTCCGTGAAATCCGGAGATTAGGGAGAAAGTCAACAGTCTCCAACAAGGATCGATCGTCGGTGTTTTCTCCGGTAGATGGATTATTAGTTGTTTTCTCGGAGGAAAGACGACGCAGCCCGTTGAAAGAGCATCGTCTGTATCCCTCCAACGTTCACCCTCCTTTTCTCGTCAAGGACGTTGCGTTGAATGCTCCTCAGGTACATTCAACCCTCGTTGCTTGCACATCCCTCCCCGCCTTTCAATCCTTCTCCTGTTCTTTTTTCGCTTTTTTCTTCGCTTTCCCAGTAGCCATCTCGAGTAGTCCAATATTCTTTCCTCGTTTTCCCAGTCGTCGTTGTACCGAAAGTTGTATACGAGAACGAGAGTCTAACGAGACCCAGGAATACTCGACCGAGACAAAGCAAGTGTTCTCAGCATTGACTGGGTAACGCCTGTTGGTCCTTCAAAGCACATTTTGCATTTCCATCAACAATGTCGTTCACGAGAAATGGTTTTCATGGATTTCTTGAATCAAGGTGGGGAGTTACGCTAGAAATACCAGCGATCGAAGCGTGAGGATTCTTTTAGCGGCTCGATGATCAACTTTTTGAAGCACATAATCGGTTTCGCGCGTTTATCTCGGGGCGTTTGCTTCGGTATCATTTTTAATCAACGCTATTTCTTCGCGTGTGCCTTCCATCCGTCCCTTTTGCCCTTCCATCGACTCGAAACTTGAAGCAAACAGACCCTAACGAAGTCGGAACGAAGCAAAGAGTGTTCTTCCCATTTCTCTGCTTAGTCTGCAGGTAGGGTGTCTTCTTTAATACGCGGCTTAACGTAAGTGTCATTAAACGGTGTACCATTTTTCTTCTACCTCCATGTTTATTTTCGTTCTTGACCACGGATCACTGATATCCATCGAGCAACCATTAACTGCTCGAAGAGTAAACGAACAGTCCGTTCCTGGATCGATGAAGTGGAAAACGATGTTTCCGATAATACTATTTATCAATTGAAGAGATTATGTGTCGATGACTTTTCTTGTTTACTTTACAAAGAGCATCATCCAATTGACATGCGTTCTGATACAATCTTTGATATCGCATAGGTCTCGAGGAAACATTCAACACGTGTTTCTTTTTTATCGACACGTATCTATGTCGGAGAGATTTTCAACTCCGTTTCGTTCGAATCGCGGTTCTGAAACTTGCAAACCTCTGCAAGCCGTGAGGTATATTAATTTCAAATCCTGTATCAAACGCGGCGTGCTAATTAAAGGGACAGCGCTTTAGCGAGAGTTTTCCAGCGGAAGGAATAGCCTTTTCGGACGAATTCCCGTGGCAAGTTAAGGTTTAATAGCACAGGCCGGTACCGGATCGCGTGAAAAACGGAGTCGGATGATAAAAAAAAGAACAATATAGCTCGCGATGGCCGTTTCACCAATGTTTCTTCCTCGCATGCTCGCATTTCATTCGTACCTGACAAGCCAGCTGTGCGTGACCCGTCTGCGTGCGTAACACCACCGGGACAAAGAGAAAGAGAGAAAGAGAGGGCCGAGAAAAGAGAAACAGAGAAAGAAAGTAGCCAGTGGATCGATAGGATAGCTTTGCTGTGACGTTGCCGAAGAAACCACACGTATTGCAGATATTGGCTGCTATCGAGACAAGAGAGAACGAGGATGTTCTCGTAATTCATCGTTTTTTCTCCAAAAGGATTCCATTTTTTATGTGATCGATGATCGAGCTATCTGTAACCCTTAGAAGAAAAGATTAGAACAGGTCAACGTGCGACTTTGCTGGAAGAACGGTAACAGCGCCAAATTTTTATTTTTACGTTCTTTCTTTGCGGTCCAAGTACTTGAAAAGTCATTATTTATCAGTTCAACGTTGCAAGCGACAACGTAAAAATTTGGAAGTCCGTTACATTGCCACCGATTGTAGCGACGGAAAATGCTTGGAACCGATAACACATCGGGTAGATTAACGATCTGTTTCCTTCGATATGATAATGGTCTTAGCGAATTTGTATGTTCTACGACGGTGAGTCGCTGGTGGCAATGTAACGAGAGCCTATTGCAGTCTACATATATTTTTCTTTCGAGAACAGCGAACATCCCAAAGTTCGAAACAGATTTTGTCACAAGTGCATTCGCATTCAGTCCGATGAAAGTTGTGTCGTCGTAGTTAATCGTGTTCTCGTGGTTATGGGCTTCCGTGACCTTGACGCTGGCCACAAACGACGGGAACAAGCTTTTCGAAGCGATCGACCGCACGATATTCATTCTCGTGACTAAAACGTGCGACGAATTTGGTTCTCCGTTTCGTTTCTTTTTAAGAAACGATCGCGCCGTGACATGAACGAGAAATTATGAATCGATTATCGCATAAAGATTCGTTTTGAACGAAACTATAGTTAGTTCTAGGACTAATGTTTAACACCTTGACTGGCATAATGGTCACCTATAGACCATAACGAATTAAAAGATGAAAATAAAGAATGACCTAGATATTCTTAATAATTCGTGTCTGATCGTACGTATCGGTTTTCACTGTCAACGTATAAAGCGGTATCGTACTCCGATAGCTTTTTAGAACGCTTCAAAATATCGATTATTAGTATAAATTGAAGCGAATACAGAGAATTTGTACGATAGTGGAATCTGTTTATCGTTCGTCAGTTCGTATTTGTACGCCGGGCGGTCATGATCACGGCCGAATCGTTCCCAGTGTTTTCGTCCGGGTTCGGTCAGCCTCGATCGGAAATTTCTGGTTAATGTTCCGTGAGGCCTTTAAGGGTTACGATCAGATCGTGCCGTTATTGTATCGCGGCGATTGTATCGAAGCTTTACAGCACAGTGCTTTGTACGATGAATGCATTTAAAGCATTGTAAGTACCACGATTATGCAACGTACTTGTTCTACATGCAGTTAACGACGAATATTTTCAACATTCGCAATTTATCTCCTGCTAAGTACACGTGGAATAATTTCAACTCTTTATGGTTGACAACTTTTTAATGATATTAGAAACTAATATTCTTAAGTGCGAGGAAAATTCTCATTTTATACTAAATTGAAAATTACCTTACGTATCCTTGATTTTCAAAGAGCCAACAACGTTTGAAAACTCCCTGAAGCTAGTCGAATTATTGCATTCATTAAACCTATCAAGTTTCCCGAAGTTTTCAAGAGTTTCAAGAATCTTAGACTCGAAACAAGTATCGAAGTGATTCGAAACTCTCCAGTGATTGGAATCGCTTGAAAATTTGCAAGATATAATATCGGATACCCTTTCAATAACCGCGCCGCGAGCTCTATACGTTTTATCGTATATTAATGGTATACTCGACGATGAAAACATTTTTCTAGTAATCTGGTATCGCATTGTCGAGTTATTCCGCTGAAAACAAGGATCTGTACCGGTGTCACGTGCCACGATAAGACCAATTCTTTCAGTCGTCACGAATCCGTAATGGAAGATTAACAAAGTGGCGCAATCGCGTTACCCCATTTAGCAATGTTACGCGGCTTCTGTAACAATCTTCGCTTTACGGCTGCATTACTTCTACACGATGCTGATCAAGACAAATATTTTAATCGAACGCAAACAAGATTTATTGCAAGTTCACCAGTTTTATCGTCGATTCTCAATCGTTTCGGTTACTGCAAATAATTTGCAAGCGTTTTTACAAGCGTTTACGAAATATATCTATTCGCTTAGAGTTCCTTTGGAAATCCGTAGTGTAATTCAAAGAAATGTTGCATATAGATAACAGATTACAATGTTCTTCGTTATCGAAAAAGAATTTATAGGAGAAATTCATTTCGAGGAGTAAGCTGATTACTAATCGGATTACTTTTCTGTCACAGGCACCAAATTTCTGTGCAGCGAGGTGATAGCGTTAATAAGGAGCGAGGTGGACGACATCTGCTTGCAAATCATAAACTTCGAGGATCTGAGCGCCCAACCACCCCCACAGCCTGCAATTCCGCCCCCAAGCCAGACCAACAACAGGCTCGTCACACGCTGTAAGTTTCAATTTTTTTTCTTCTCGTTCTCCCTTCCTGTTTCTCATTTGCCAGCCTTGCTCGCTCATTTTCCATGAATCCATGTAAATTTCACGTTCAATTTACGTTCGTGCAGCTCGTCGTTGCACAATGTTCTTTTCTCTCTCTCTCTCTCTTTCGAAACGTCGAAACGACCCCTTGAATCTTCGGTCGAAGATTTTCGGATCAAAAATGTGTCATATTAATTACTTCAGGACTTTTAATCCCGGTGAAAAATTTGTTATTAAAAATTAGGACCACTTTATTCGTTATCCGAAATTTTTGCACGTGGTCCTACTTAAATCAGCAAGCGCAGCAGTTGAGTTTTTATCAGGATTATTAATCTTGAAGGTGTCTACTGTTAACTCCAACAACGAAATGGTTTGGTTCTGTGCAGTGTGTTTGCAATTAATCGTACAGGGCTAGTTACACGGGACGAAAAGCACTTTCGATCCCTTGTACGTTTCTGTTTGTCCTATTTAATAACACAGACGTTTGTTCTATTGTACGTGTGTCGTGCGTGTGTGTTTTTTTTCTCTCGCTTTGCATTCGTTGTGCAACGCCGAGGACACTAGGTCACGTAGTTAAGTGTGAACGCGGGGTGTGTCTGTAGGAGCGTACTTGGAGCACGGCGTGACCTTCCTTGCCGCAGACTGACGTTAGAAAGGTGCTTGTAAAAATTACCACCGAGCCTCTTTTCCTTTTTTCCCCTTTTTTTCTGTCCGGTAGGATGCAATACACACCGGACGGATTCTTTTCATCCAGCTCCGGCTAATGAAATTCCATCGGAAGCGAGTCTCTCGCCTTCTCTTTCGCCCGCCGCTTGTCTGGCCGCGATTAAGAACCTAATTTCACTTGAAACCGATTATCTCGCTCGATTAAAGCGTCCAGCAGATTGATCGAGTGATGAGTTCAGACTAAGTAAATCGACGGAATTATTCTCGTAAGATTTCATTTCTGGTAACTGTCTTTTCATCTTTACAATCGAGAGACGCGCGATGAGAGGAAGAACAGTCGATTTCTACGTGTTTGTTTTTCGAAACAGTTCTTTCGTATAGAGCAGAATGTACTTCGTTATCGGTTTATTCGACGGTAATAGCAGTCCTTACAATTTTTTAATCCCTCTGTATTTAACGCGTTGACCTCCACGATATATTAGATAATTAACTTTTAATGTTTTTATAGCGTTAACGGCTGCGAAGGCCACTTGCCTACGCTTCAAATATAACATAATCGAATAATTAACACGTTGATTGCTATGTCACCCATATGTGGGTCACGTTTGAATTTCCATGGAATTCTATTACCTGCAGGAAATTCTTTGTGTTAGCTAATTGAAAATTTTCGTATTTTCATATTTAACAGCCAAAATATAATAGAATTTAATGAAAGTTTCAACAATGCTCTAAAACGAAGATTTAAGTAGTACGGTTTCGATGTCTTACTACACGCGTCCGCTTCTACTAGTGCAGGCAACGTATTAATGTTTTATGCCTAGCGTGTCTTAGCACATACGTCTGTATTTACTGTGGCGGTCGACGCGTTATCTTCTGCGGTCTGTTAAACATTTCTGATTATAAATTGTTTGCAAAAACGTTTATCGAACCATGATCGTATTGCAATAACCCTTGGTATCTGAAAGGATATAAATCGCTTTTTACAAGAGAAGAGATAGAACGTCGAGGGAAATACGGGCACTCTACTTTGCTAATTTTTTCCGTGGAAAGTGTGCTTCGAGTGCAGCCTCACGAGCACCCTTCGTATAATTAAATACGCTGGAACTAATTGAAATAATTATCTTGATAGCGGGAAGGTAAAACACCTCGTGAACGTATTTTAGTTACCACACGTTGGGAAAAATATCGAATCGATAGCGTTATGCTAATAAAAACAATTAGTGTACGCAAATATCTTTTTTTTCTCTATCTTCGTCAGCGGTGTCTATCGCTGAAATTCCAGAAAAAAAGAAGAAAAAAAAGTATAAGCGCTGAGCCTTGATAGTTCGCAAACAACATCGTATTTGCACGCTGTATAAATAGTGACACGGCGTGGAAGCACGTGTCGGTAAAGAATCAATTTGAAGTAAACGCCTTTGCGTTTTCCGAGCCACTAAATCTATCCACGAGGACACCCGAGCGCGGTGAAGACGAAACGCATGCTTAACGCGATATTCCATCGTGAAGTTTCGTGTCCTGTTTGCATATAGCTTCATGCGGATTTCAAGTTCCCGTAGCATCATTATGTTTTACCGCACTAATCGGTATACGACAGCTTCGTGGACATTCAGGGCCAGTTTCTCGACAATCTTGCTATTCAACACACAGGTTGGCAGCTTTAGTTGTAAGGATGATTGCTAGAATCAGAGATCGAGGTCAGATTTGACCGCATAATGAGTTCTCGTTAAATATATTTCACGCTATTCAATGTTGTATCTCGGTGTATTTATGTGTGGCATGTCTTATCAAGAATGCGATTTTTCCGTGAAATTTTCAGTCATTCCTTTTGAAATTTTAGAACAATGAATTGTGGCGCAGTGGAAATGGCCGAGTGTAGCGTGGTATATTCTATTAGAAATTTTTTTAAATAATTCCCACTCATTTTCTATATTCAGCACCTTTCTCTAGGGAAGGTTGATTAGTCGTAGCATACGTTACGCGTCGAATTATCGCGTGTCAAGTCGTACGCGTTGTATTGCTACGCTTCGTTTCGCAGCGTCCCGTATCACCACGCGTTGTATTACCAACGCGTCAGATTATCATACGCGAAATTATCATCGAATCCCTACGCCTCGTACCGCTTCGCATTATAGTAGTTCTCCCTACCTATACAAAAAATTTGACGATTCATAAAATTGAAATTCGTTCGAATTTAAAATAGTTATAGCAGTGCGTCGAAATAAATCGACGGTTGCACAGGCTCGATTACTAATTCGCTTAACGGTGTTTTACCTGTATTTCTAAATAGCCGCGCGTGTAGAAACAGCATACACGCAAAGAGGAAGAGCCGCGTGGTCACGTTTTATATCTGGAGTGTTCGCGAAAGTATTTTTAGAATGACGCCGCAGAACAGTCGCTGGACGTGTGTGGCGCGCCTAACAGTTAACCCTGACCCGGTAATAAATGTTATACCCCCGTATAGGAAGCTATAGACATCCCCTTTTCCCACCTGCCACTTGATAAATCCACCCTCAACCCTCGCGGACGAATCAGCCGATGCTTACAGTGGCCACTATGTCGGATCAATTATTAAAATGAACACGAAGCTGTCGTTGAACGATCCGGTAACGCGTTCGATTCCGATCTGTTTCGTTCGTCATCGAATATTTCGTGATTTCTATACAGCGAGCAGGACCTATCGCTGGTCGGCAAACAATTTTTAATTAAACTCGATCGTTTTGAATGGACAAGCCTTGGAGCTTCGATGGAAAACCTTGCTTCGATATTCATTTCGATGATTCTTCTCTTCTCGCTTTTGTGTCCTCTGCTTTTTATCGCGAATCCAATTTCCCTTGGTATACATGTTCTTGGTCCGTGATGTAGTCGGATGGGAAGAACTTCAACTTGGCATTTTTCAATTTTTTCTTCGATAATGCCAGCATCGTTTCTCGTTCTGGCCCCTACAATCTGAAACAGATATCGTATTTTTGTACACGAGGTTCAACGACTCGAATTTGGCTGAAAATCAAATAACTTTACGACGATCATACGCGTAAGGAGATCACCGAATCGTTGTGCCAACGATTCAATCGTGCATGTAACGATAAATAGAAAATTTCACCCCGTCTCTTTCATTCTTAACTCGCTCGACAAATCATTTACTCGGATCGAATACTTTCACCTTAGTTTTATACAATTTATCAACATCCATCGCTTGATTCGCTATTTTTCTGTACCCTTTTTCGAGCGAAATCGTCGTCCGTTTCTAGATACCGTGTTTGGCGCTTCATGATCCCATTTTACTTTGCTTCGTTGAAAGTTTGTTTAATCCAGTCGGTGGCTAACTTCGTATAAACTCACTCGAGTCCCTCCCTGTTCGTTGAGAAAAATATATTGCGCAAAGTAACACGTACAAAACTCCGCAGTGGAATATTGTACCGCGAAAAATATAATCTCGAGAGTACTGTAACTGCTAAATTACTGAACAGTAGCGTACGTAAGTGAAAAGCTTCGGTTACTAAACCTTGGGATGGCGAAGTTACGGCGCTTCGATTAACTGAAATTTTTTAGTGAAAAAAGTAGTACGTCATCGATTGCAATATATATAGTTTATTGTATTATAAAATTCTAGAAACTAAAGCGGAGTCTTTGGCTTCGCCATTCGAGCGTTCATTTCTATAGCGATCGATGAGTATTGAAAATTTTCCTCGAAACACTTACAAGCTTTCTTCCTTATTTCGTACTTAAAATGTTGCTAGTTAAGTAATTGAACGCGCTTGGAGTGCAAAGCTTTTCAACTATAGGCATTGATACAAGGACCACGAAATTTTTCAAATAAAACGAAATTCTCGATTCGAAGTTGTAGCTAGCTCGCGAACGACGCGTTAGTTTTCGCAATATATATTTTCACCGGTGCGTAGTTGGCAGTTTTTACTAACAATCACTAATAAGATTCAATGACGTTGACTCGAGCAGTCGACAGGGCAAGGGCGTCCTTTCGTGCCGGTCTATCCAGGACTGGTGTCGTTGGTCCACCGAGGGTCAGGAATCGACCAAGAAACACGACCAACTTACCTCATCGACTTGCTGACGGGACCATCCTCGACGAGGACGCCTCCGAGAACTGGTGAGTCCTGGACTTTCCAATATATTCTGATAAACTCGCTTATATCTGTTCCGCAGTCCTCACTAGATTAGACCGAACAATCAAATTGTCTATCGTGGCACTTTTTTTTCTCGTTTATCGCTAGCAGGAAATATCGAGAGAACCACGTAGTTTCCACGCTATAGTGCACCGTTATAGGCATGCTATATATTTGTATGTAATATATCACTCATGTAAATAGAATTCTACGAGTCATTTTACTCCGATGATCGAATACACACGTATTGTTCGGCGTTCCTTCGAATTCCGAAAGCTTTCGATACGACAATTTTCGAGTTGCTTCTGATGCGAAATGCGCTATGATCGGATATGTTATAATAATTGATAATGTTCGGCACGACTATTTCTTCCGTGCCAATCAGCGCGACTAAAAATACGATGTTGCATAAAGGACATTTCGTGTTCCATGAATCGAAGGTATCGATTGTAGAGCGATAAAACTTGCATTGAATTTTAATGTAATTCGTCTTGCCGGTGTAGTTGGCTGATTCCGAGGTTTTATTCTAGTTTTCAGCAGGTGAGGGGGGTTGCGCGATGATTTGTCGTACTGCGGTGTTGTACAGAAGCCAATTAAGAAACTGACGAAGCTGACCTAACTAAGTACACTCGGTTCGTTAATGATACACCGCATTGTTCTGCACGCGTATCTCGACCACGCTGCTGTGGCATTCTCGCAAACATCAAATGCCTTTTTCGATATCTTGTTAACCCGTGTCTCGATCTTCTTCTCTTAATCGATCCCGGGATAATCTATCCGGTAATTGGCGATAGAAATCTCCATTGGATTAAGCTGCTTTCTTCTATTCAATTTTTGTCGTCGTTCAAAACATTCGGTGGCTCGATCATTGTAAATTCCGAACGAAATAGGATTTCTTTTTGTTTTATTTGGTCGGGGATGATAGATTGGGTTTGCGCAGGTACTTCTACTTCCGAACGATCGGAAGTTCCAAATATAATAAAATGCATTCGCACGGTGCACACGACGCTTGCCAAAATACACACTTTTCGTCGCACAGGTTTTTGTTTTCTCAACGTGGGAAAAACACGGCAATCCATTCTAAACGATCGAAACCAGACGCGAGATCAAATATTGGCAGTCGCCCGAGTAAACAGTAGGTCCATTTGGTACCATCGAATTGATTAAGGGTTTCGTAAACAACCATCATACATAACTCCCTGGAATGAATGGATCATGAATCGAGGAACGTATTTCCTTCGTGCTATTTCCGAATAAACGACTCTTACGTACTTCCGTCCATGCACGATTTATTTATGCGACAAGCGAAATCCATGCATCTCTTTAATCAAACTAACTGTGTGCTGCAAAGAGAGTTGACAGTTGGTACTTGGAAAGCGATGCACCGAATGCTGCATGCCGTGACACCTGCGGTCAGTCTGAAAATAATTCGAAGACGTTCCTGGACGTTTGCGGACGAAATCGAGTTCCTCACGCGACAGGATCCCGATGACATAAACAAGCGGCTCCGGAACCGGGAAGCACATGGAACGACAGAGAGTAATATGGTCGGGATTACGACCTTGGATATTTCCCCTCTTCAAGGTGAACCCTGTCCGTTTGCTCTCGGCACGCAACGATCAATTATCGAAGGAACAAAGGTTCAGAGATCCCCTCGAAAAGTTAATCGTAACCCTTTTAATCTCCCATAAACCCGAAATCCTCTACTGACTTCGTCACGTTCTGTCGTGGAAGTTTCGTAAAAAAAATATGTCAAGTTTCGTGAACTGTATCCGTAGCAAAGGAGAGCCGTCTTTCTTCGAGTTAAATTCGGGGATCCTTCGTGAATTATAAGTTGGTTAATCAAAGAGCCAATAATCAATCCTGAGACTCGATTAAAGCTGTGGCTTACCGATGACAAAGAGGAATGTCCCGGTTTTAGCGTGCGCTTCAAGGTGAACCATGCCGAGCACGCAACGTCGCGGTATGGAGATTGAGAAACGACCAGGTGAACGCGACAAGGCTAGAAGGAACAGAAACGCATTTCCCTTCTCTCCTATCGACTTAGCTCGAGCTTTTACTTAGACGTCGGGCTTCTAACGAGACCCAGATCATCCATTTGCCTCTTAACCACCTTTCGAAGCTCCTCGCATTAAAATCGATAGCCGATAATATTTATCTCGGGACGGGCATCGTTCCGGAACGCTAACTATGCCAATTAATATTCCCTCGAAGAGAAGAAATTCTGATTCAACGTCCACCGAAGCATTTATCTTGTATTCTATTACGAAATAGAACGTTGGAAGGTCAAAATTTCGTGTACAATCTTCGTAACCAAAACTGTCACAAAGGAATTAAAACCTCTTAAACAGGACGCCTTTGAAAACCGATTTAAAAAGGGGTGCATGCAAGTCGTCTCTTTCAACGATCGTGAAAAGACAGGGGCGTCGCGTGAATAAACGTGCCTGTGAATGAACCAGTTAAGCAAGTACGAAAGAAAGAAAAAAAGGAGAAAAGAAAAAGCACTGAAGAGGATATGAATGAAAGTGTTCGAGCTCAAAGATTTTATCTCGGGTTAAGGAGCGTGCGTGACCATGATACGATTCGAAAGCTGCATTAAGCTCGAAGCAGAGTGTTGTCACACTTGCATGACGATTTCACACGGGTCTTTTCTCGACCAGAAATTGGACCAAATTTTTTCTGCTTCATTATGGCCCGACGTTCGGTGGACACGTAACGTTCTTCCTGAAAATAAATGAAGCTGAACTTGTTCGGAAACAATTCCAACGAAACGTAGCTTTAATTTTGCTCTTCCTACAAAAGAAAAAGAAAACGTTGCTCCAAATGAGACTGCAGTTGATAGATAATTCGGGTGTATCTGTAGTAGTTGGCTTCAGAGAATCGAAGTCCGGAACAGTTTCTGCCTTTCAGATTAGGGACAGTTTCTTCCAAGCTGCTTTTCCTACGACTTCCATGATTTCCAGGAAAGATATTAAAGAAATACAAGTTCGTTCCTTTGTTTCAGCAAATTTCGCTTCGACGGTCAGAATAGATTCTCGGGCGATAGGCCGCTGAGATAACAATTTAAACTACATTTTATATCATTGGGTACATTGCCTAACAATTTTTATTTCGCTACCGTAGCGCCATAAATATCTCGCTACCGTATCCTCTCTGATCCGTTGACGCGTCCTTTGTACGTCGATAGAGCAGATTGTGCGAGGGTTTGAACTTGCAAGGTAGGATCGAAACCGCGTTAAAAACTCGCTGGATTTATCGACGTTTTACGGCGTCCAGGCAACCCTGACATCGATTCCTCGTCGGGCAGCGTGTTGACAGAGTGATTTCGTAATACAAATAGATCCACATAATGGACTACAGCGGTGTATTTTTTTCTCTCTTTCCTTCGACTCCTTTACCAACCAACCAGCCAACCACCGGCGTCACAGTTCCGGCCGCTCTCCTTTTTTCAAGCGGTGCAACTTCACCTTGCGGCGTTATTGCACGCTATTGTTGGGTGGGTTCAAGGAATTTACGTGTCTAAAAAGTGGTAAATTGCTGTCGCGCATTTGCATGATAAACTCGGTATGATTCATCGCCGCGAGTGCATCTTTTTTGGCAGCTGCCGTGACGCCCGTTTATTCGACGATGCTTTCTTCGCCGGAATTCGTTAATCGCCAATGTTGATCGATGCCGTGAAAAATGGGAGCGATTGAATATTTCGACGAGATGGCGCACGATCGACTAATTGGCGTGAAGTTTTAATTGGATGAAAATGCGCATGATCCCTGATCCTGTTATTTTTTTTCAAACGCGTTTGGCTTTAACGTTATTCTTCCGTTGCAATGGCTTCGCGAGCTCTTGAAAAATGAATTTTTTTTATTGCAATCGCAGCTACGATATGGATCAGTCTTTTTTACAAATGAAAAATATCCTTGACAAGGAATTTTACATACGTCCTCTTACCGTTAGAAACGAAAGGGTTATAAAGAAAGTGTTACACCGTGCAAAGAAGGTTAAACATTGGTCATACGATTTTGTCATCGTTGCTTAATCGCGGTTTACAAATGAAAATGGTTGACATTAAATATTCATACTTTTAATTAACCAGTGGAGGTGCGTTAGAAGAATACCTAATGAATTACAATTTCTTTGCCGCGTTTCCATGCTCCACCCTTGCCCACCCTACCTTCGCACGCTAGTGCGTTCAATGAATTTCCATGGCTTTAAAACAAAATCCCGTTTGCATGCGCGTCGCCGTGGATATTTTCTGTAAAAGCACCCAATCCTTTACGACCTCTTAATTAACCACTTTGCTTCGGAATATCTCTAAGCTTTCTATCCTCGGATTAATTTTATTTTTCCGCTATTACGACAATTGCATATCGATTCGTTCGGTTCAACTCGGAGAGACCGTTCGAAATAATAATTTTTTGCTCATAAACGAAAGTGGAATCGAAGTCCAAGACCATTTGCATCGGATGCATCGATGAAATTGCTTTGACCTGGCAAAAATTCCATTTTGCAATTTCTTCTTAATCGCACACCGAACGAAACACTTTGCTCCTTCGAATTGGCGAGTGCGTGTTCACACGCGAAGGACTCTGAAAACAGAACTTGTAATGCGGCTCGATAGAAAACTGGAACGTTTCGTTCAGCGGCGAATTATTGTCGTTCTTATTCTACAATTTTGGGATAATTTGTCGTCGAAATCTCTGAGATCTATCTAATAGCAAAAGAGAGCTTCTAGTATAACGAGACGGTTCCAATAAAACCACATTAACAGTTGGAAATAAATGGAAAATTGATCCTTTACTACGTCTCGCATACTCGTACGCACCATAAGTATTCGGAAAGGCTACAGTTCGTAGTGAAATCGCTTGGTAGAGTATAAAGAAAAATTTTCTACTTAACGCCTTGAATAAATCGTTCCGCGACTCGAGCTAAATCACGAGTAGCCTCCGTTCGACCCCTTAATGCATACAAACGGTCGTTCAGAGACGGACTGGCGCTACCCAGAAAGTAGAAAGGGGCTCGTCGAAGAGGGTTGATTTGTTTTTCCCTTGATATATGTACGTCGACGGACGTGCCGTTACGAGAGAGTCCCGAGCGGCGCGAGGAAATTCTCATTACGCGTTCGAAATGGTTGGAAATGTTCCAAACGAAACTATCCTGAACTTGTCCATCCCTCTTCCTACCCTAACAACGCTGATGCAAGCTCTTCTGTATCCTTTCGAACGGGGCTTGCAATCGCCGGTAGCGTATTTCCGAAGATTCTTTTGAAGCGAGAAATCGAATCGTCTTCTCACGATTTTTGGGCTTAGATCTGTCGCGAGGCAGTAGAACGCTGACGCGTTGTACGACTTCACTTCGATGTCTCGCATTCGGTACAATTTGGACTAGCGTCAATGGTACGTTATTAATTTAATGCATCGTTTATAATCAGAAATGTATAATAAATGGCAAAAGCCACTCGAAACCGGAAAATAAATTCTCACTGTCAAAGGAGTTAAAGTGTTTATATACGTGCTTTCTGGATGCACATACGAGCCATTGAAATCTCCGCAGACGAGCCGTCAGAGACATCAGATGTTTTTTGCGGAACAAGAACACCAGAATATCAAACAAGAACTCCCAGAAGCGTCCAACACCTTCAACTTCCTAAACTGTCCGCAGATGCTTGTTCGCGACAGCCTCGAGCTAATTGAACAGCAAACAAGTGTTACCGGTTACAGTTCCATGAAATAAAGTCCAGTTCGTTTACGTTAGAGTTCTGGTGGCACGTCGAGCACGTCGGTCACGTCTTTCTGCATCGCGTTGTGACTCGTCAGCTTCTGTATCGATTGCCAAGTCTGACCTAACACTGACATACTTCACTCGCCGTATCCGACCTCTGTTCTATATCGACCATTTGTCATAATCTCAAGATTTCTATGATTTATCACGGAACACTTTTGTTCTGGTAATTTTTCGGGATAGCGATGCCCGACGCCTCGACGGCTCGATGCCGCCTACACTGATTATCGTCTATGAAAATCCAGCTTCTTTGCATCGTCGATGATCACTGTTATTTTGATTGATCGTTTTAGTCAAACAAACTCCATTAATCAGTGTTATTATTTCTTGGTACTTCTCGTGAAACGGTTTTTGTTCAGATTTTTTGTCGCGACATCTTGAGTTCGAGGGAGACTCCAATAGTCCTTCGCCTTCTCGTTTCCCTCTAATGGAACTGCGTGTAGAGAATACAAGATACATTCGAAATATTGCGTGGAGAAACATCTAGATTACATTTTTTCTCCGGACATTTTCTTCGATCTTTTAAACTTTTCTCGAAGCCCTTGCAACTTTCGCACGGCGATATCGTATTTTTTCTGCCTCGAAAAAGTTTTGCTCGTTAAATTTTATATTATTTCTTGATGCATTAATCGTTTTATATATAAAGTCGTTTAAAAATTGAAACGCTCAATTTTAGTCCATACACCGCTGCACAGGTTTGGTAAGTGTGGGTTACGATGCACCCAACCACCGATGTACGAGATTTAAGGAACGAGTCGGCCAGGAATGTTCTCTTTGGACTAATGGAACCGATTTCCTATATTTTTCAGCCCGCTAACATGTGGTTCACCTACAATGATGGAATCTTGGGGTCCTGGAAGGACTGGCACACCCCCGCCTGCTCTTCCAGCCCCGCCATCTGGAAGCAACAATGGTGGTGCAACGTCTGCAGCAACCGCAAACGTTGCACACCACAGCACTACTGCACCGATTGCCAGTCCCGAAGGGGTGAGCGACGTAAGTAGAAAAAAAGAACAAATAAATAAAATATCTATTAGAGTATTCGATGTCCTAGATCTCCTATTTATTCCCTCTGTGTCGATGGTTTCTCGTTATTTCACTGTTTCTGGAACTAAAGGGCTAAAAAGCGTAAGCAAAACGATTCTGAAACGCGTGCAGCACGAAACGCAGGGTTAGAGTACCATGCAAAGGTCAGCCTAATGGCACGTATCTAACTTGTACAATTGCAACACGTGTAAAGTTATTCTATCAGAGGGATGAACCAACCCTGACGCCTACTACTTCCACTAGTTTCAATTTCACGAGCAGTCGAGGGTTGGTCGAGTAATGGACGTTGGCCGAGCTATCGAGCCAAGCTAATAGAATCACCGGAACATATCCGGAATATTGTTCATTCTCATGAGAGTTGACCAATTTAGAAGACCGTCGGGGGCCTTCCTGATCATCGTTGACACCGTTTTCAGTCTCTTATTACAAACTTTCTTCCCGTTTTATCTATTTAAAGAAAAAGTTTGAGCAATTTCGGGTAAAAATACAGAGCGTGCAAGGGGTAGGAAATTGTTGTCGCGTTGTCCGAAGGACAAAATTATTTTTAAAAAGAAGAAAGGACGAGAAGACACGATATTATTTATAGGACGATTTAATGGCGGCTTCCATCTTTATCTTTTGCCATCATCGACGAGCCTTAGCCTTAAACCGTGCCCTCAACCCCGAAAGTAATTGCCCCTTCCATCCACACCGGGTTAAACTCAAGTTGGATCGCGTGCACTCGCTTGAAAACATGTCCGGTATCGATCGTGTGTCGCAGGAGTGTACGCGATGCAAACGATATTCCAGCAGTCGCCGTGTCACGTGAAACGGAAGTCCGAGTCAAGGGTAGCTCGGACTAAACGGAGAGCGCGATGGTCGGTTAAACGGAAGGTGGTCGTGGTTGGTTGCAGGTCTCGCAGAAGTCAGGAATCTGGGATGGGGCGAACTTCTCGTCGGGCGGAGGTGCGGAAGGACCATCTCGAAGCGTGTCGCACGCGGCGAGTTTGGACGCGATCTCGAGGAGGGCGGTGAAACCGGACGCGGCGAGGGCGCCGTGTCGCAGCCTCACCTGCAGCGTTTGTAAGTAGACCTCGTGTCGATCTTACCGACCCGATTCTTCGTTTCTTGCTATTTTTTTTTTTCTCTTTTCCCCACCCATTTTTTTTCTCTGTCGTTTCCTCGGTATTTCGAGGGTTGCCATATCGGCTCGAGCTTCACGACGATACGTTCAGGTGTTCGCATCCGCAACCCTTACGTTCTCTGCGCAGACAGAACAACGATGCCATCCGTTTTCTTTTTATTTTATTTTCTTCTGCGTTCCTGGAACGTTCGATAGATCGATCGAATTCGATCGGTATCGAGGTCTGAACGACGTGTCGAGTGCAGATATATGCGCGCTGCGGCGAAATTGCAATGAACGACGTTGAAGATAATACCGCCGCATGCGATGTTTCGTGTCGCGAATGTTGACAGATAGTGAGCGAGCGTGCTTCGCAGTTTGCCGGTCGAAGCCATCGTAGGGCCGGTTAACCGGTGATGTTCGTGATGGAAGATTCGAAAGAAGGATCCGTCATTTTTTCTTTCGATCGTTTTCGAACCTGATCGTCCTTTTTTACCTTTCGCGATTCAAGAATCAATCGCTTAAACGAAGCGAACGAACGAATCGAAGTTGTCTAGCAAATAAAAGTTTAATACCTAACATAAATGACTTTCGAACGACAAAGTTGCATGCATCGGAAAAAAATGATCGCAATTTGATTAAGATAAGAGACGATCAATTACATCGACTGTATTTTATTCTGTTTCTTATCGTACCGATCGTAATACGTTACAAACGATAACAGTTCGAATACGTTCCATAACGTATCGCTTCGCTATCTGTCAGCCGCGGAGAAAAGCTCGAAGAACGAAAGAACTCGTTTCGCGAGGCGATGTCTCGCGAAAACGGCGCGAGTTGGCGCCTGTTCGCTCCGAGCAACCCCTATTCGCTACCCCCGGAGTCTCGATAAACGTTTCAGGAAGAGTCGCGTTTCCGTTCCGTCGATCATTCTCTTTCAACCCTGTATCCAGACATACGTACGTAATCTCGCGTCGCATATATTATCCACGGTGACCCCTGCGTTAAATCAGGCCCGACCGTGACCCCTTTTGGATACGAAATACAAGTCCAAAAGTCAAACCATAGAAACGTATTTTAGTAGCGGGCCGAGGGAGCGAACACGTCACCCTCGAGCGACGGCCAGCGACAGTCGATAATCTCACGGAAGGTAAAACAGGACGGAGCAGCTTAAGTCTGCTTCATCCCCTACTTTGGTTTTTCTTTTAACCGACCGAGCGCCGCCCGAGTTTGCACCCCTTTTACAACTTACCAAGCGCTTGCGGCTTACTTTTTTTCCTTTTTTTTCTTGATATCAACTGCTTTCTCTCCAACAGATAACGTACCATTGTCGGATTCAGCTTTCATAGGCCTGTTTTCTTGTACTCCACCACAGCCACCATTTATACAGCGTAGTCCAGTAATTGTCCCTGTTATCGAGAAGGGTTGAATTCTTCTTGAAAAAATAAATTAAAATTATTGTATGACACCATGTTCGTATACAGGGTCGTTTTTGACATCTTTAACTTGTACAATTATGGATAAAATGTTCTTTTCTTAAAATTGTCACCTTCTTTATTGCAAACCATTCCTTTTGTACATGTCTTGAAAAATTTTCAACTAAAATTTTTCTTCGAAGCGGAGTGATTGTACGAAGAAAGTTTTAATTAATTTTTTAAACGAGAATCAATCCTTCCCCGATTGTACGACGATTACTGGCACACCTTGTATAGTACTATTTTACTCGTTGACTCCACCCTGCGCATTCACGAGACTTCGAACGCGTCACTTGTACTCTAACAACCACTTTCCTCTCTCGATTTTTTTTCTTTTTCTTCGCTATTCTCTCGTGTCTTTCTACCGTACCATTTTACAAAACGAGCACCGTAGCATCGCTCGGTCAGCCATTTTGTGTTCCAGAATCCTGGAATTCGCTTCACCCTCTCCCCTCACGGTTGAAAGGAGGTTTCGAGTTTCGAATAATATCACGAGTACTAGTCGACGCGTGAGTCTTTTAGTTTGTAACTTGCGTGAAGTATCTGCAGGGATTTGAGGGTGAAGAATCTCGAGATATCTCGAAGCAAGGCTGATCGAAGCATGGGAGATCAATTTGTTAGTTACGCTTCTGTTTCTTCACGATGAAACAAAAATTGGCTGATGTACACGGCTTCTTCTCTATCTTCGGCTCACGAACTCGCTACTTCCGGTGGACTTCCATCCGAAATCCCCGGAAACGAATTTGAGAAGACAGAATGGAGCAGCAATCGTCACGATATCATTGTACAAATCATCATCGAAACGATATAACCCCACGTTCTTCCCTTTCTTTCCTTGATATATTATATACATACGTATACGAACATTATAAATATATTATATATACATACTACTACTTGAGCGTAGCAGTTACCGCATTCTCATCTCTATGAATAATTTACACGGTCTTTTACGAACATTTAAACGATCTTTCTTTCACAGGTATGCAGCTTCTAGTGCGAATTGACTAACCCGTTAACGACACACTGTTCTCTAACGCTTTTAGTTCAGAGATATAGGCTCGGTTGTTCCGTTGGTTGATTTTACTCTAACGCCACTCGTTCGTAGCCTTTACATTGGCCGCCATTTATTTTTTAATTTAGACCACACGTTGTCAGTAATGTTAAACCTTTTCTTCCGTCACTGGAACAGTCTTATCTTGTACAATATTATACACGTACACTCTCCAAACGTACAACTCGGTGCAAAGTAGGCTTCTTTTAGCTGTACAAGTAAGAACATGGAAAGGGACCTTCTTAATTTACTTTCGAAAAGGTGAATGCGAGAATACTTGGAGCGCGAAATTACAACAAAGACGAAAGCGAATGACAAAAGGCTCCTTTCTCTACTTCCGCCTCTAGGAAGTCTACATTGCACTTGGATCTACTTATCAGCGTGCTTCGTAATCGTACTGTATTTTACATTTAGACTTAGCGCGTGCGAGGTTGTTAATTAAAAGGGACTGTAAATTGGTATCTTACAAATTTCACTTCACACAACGATAACACGATAGACAAATTTTTGTTGTTTGTTGCTCCTCGAAAGCTTAGATCAAAAGAGTTTTGGCAAATTAATTTGTTGAATAGGTTGGTTGAATCGAGCCTGTATTTCACACGTATAGTTTCGTAATAATAATAGGATAATTATGATACTAAAAACGAACGACTATTTCTGCGAAAATTGACGCCAGTATTTGTGTTTCTAGCTACTAAACATTCGAAAATCTTTCCTGGCGTTGCGTCCGAAAGTGACTTGCAAAAATGGCGGACGTCCAAAGACAGGAAGTCGCCATCCCTCAGCCAGATGGGGCCCGACTCCATGAAACACAAAGTAAGTCTTTTTAATTATTCATATAAAATTACAACTCATCCTATGCATTTCCTTTAATTAATTTTCCAATTTCAAATATCCCATTGTTTGTTCCAGTTTTCCTTGCAGGACAACGGGTCCGCGAAATATTTTCAAGGTGCCATGCACACGTCGAACATGGGGGAAAAGGTTGCCCAGGTAAGCAATGTCTGTTAAACGTCGACGGAACCACGTATACGGTATACATATATTCGAAGCGGAAAACTTGGTCGGTTGCAGCGAAGTCGCGAGACTGCGAATTTATATGCAAATTACGAGCTTGTCTTCCGAGTCGCGTTCTCGGCTAGGAATTTTCGCGAAGACAAGGAACGTGATACTTTCGCGAGAAGATCTTAACTTCTAATAGAGTCACATCGCCAAAGTTCTTCCTCTGGAATAGTCTGAAGGATGTTACAAATTTCCTGTTTTTTTTTTTCGTCTTTTCTGAACTCGACACACGTGTCGATTTTTAATCAAGAAACTTTCGTATTTTTCTTTCTGTTTCCTTGCGAAACTTTTAACTAAATAAGTTGCTAATTGAAACTTAAGCTTCCCCCGTGAGTCTCCTTTTTATTAAAGCGGCGAGGCAGGTAGAAAAGTTTTAGAAAAATTTAAAGGCAATTCGTTTTCAAATTTAAAACATTTATCGCTTTGTGGACGTATACATTAATGTTTAGGAGTCTGACATATGTCATCTTATACTACTGAGATAGCAATAAATTCTAGTTTTCCTCCCAAGATTTTCCTTCGAAAAGAATTCCATACTTTCAATTAGTATTTCCCTAGCTACAAATGATTTAATTAAAGCGACGCTATTGTCTGACTTATAACGACCTGTTCTACTGAACTTTCACTGTATGTATGCAGGCATGAATCAATTTAGCTGCGAACAAATAACCAATTAAAGACTTTGTTTGGAGAACAATTATTTTAAATAAAATACGAATTTATAGGAAGAAAAATTAGATTATAAAAAATATTTTATTCGCGTTTATACCTTGTGGACTTCGAAAAAAGCGGATTACTTGTTTCGTACGAAACTGTTGGTATTGTTAGCAACCGTGTAGTAGAAGTAGGGTATTTACCATGATACCCTGTTGTAACACGGCCCTGACTGACGCCAATCAGTCTGCGCCGCAGTTTTGTGGGCGGGAATCTCCCGCAGCGTAAGATTTCTACAAACTCGACGAATTTATATTGTTGTTACGCTCGAAAGTGACATTTTAAGAATTTATATTTAAGCGGTATCGCAAATTTACTTTGCTTAAGAGGATCTCCGTGCAGCGCAAAAGGTCACGAATTTAATTGCCAGTCCGATATAGAAACATCGATACAGAAATTATCGTAGGAGAATACCAGAGTATAAAATAACAAAATTGTACATAAATGTCATGCGCGAATTGAAAGCTTTATTGTTCATTTATTGGTTTCTAATTAAAGATCTCAATCAAGTGTAAATATTGTAGAAGACGTCGAGTGTTCACCGCGGAATCAATATCTTATTTCGCGACGAGTTTTGCGAATAATTTATAACCCTTGGGTCACGTGAAGAGCACGAGAGTGCCGTTGACTCTCGAACAAGTGGAACAAAGATTTTCACAATGTTCTCGTCGGGGATCAAGTGTCGACTTATACTTTGCCACTCTCTTTTTGTCTTCCTCTCTTTTTCGTCATTGCTTTTCACCTCGCTCTAGAACGGATAGATGGATGGAGAAGCCACTCGATCGGTCTCGCTTAGGGACGCCGGTCTTTAAACAATTTCCTTGTTTGAAAAAGCTTCGATGCCTTTGCCAACACGCTTATCGACTTGTAGTGGGTCAAATGTCTCGAGCTTCTCAGCCTAGAAAGGGAGAAGCTTGTTGACACGCCTGTCACATGCTCGAAATCAATAATTTCCGCGTGACAATTCATACTTTCCTCGTAAGCTTCTTTATCGCTCTAAAATTTCCATTTCTGCTCCCGCTGTTTCGACACTGGTCGTTACCGAACATTCGTAACCATATTAATGCTTTTTTAACGCGTTACTTTTTACCTAAATCCTTCTTAATACTTTCTTTCTCGGTTACGTTAGATCTAACGTTTAAAAGGCCGACCATCAAGAGCTCTGAAGATTGAAAAATATTTAAACGGTCTGTTAGGTTTATTTTAAAAGCGTGCACGGTGCAAAATATATGACCGTAGTTAAGGTACTTTTAACCCTTCTGTACGAAACAACAATGAGAAAAGCGACTCGAGGAAGAGAATTTATCATCGATGAAAGGTCGTAAGAGCAGGGTCAATTTAGAAGGTGTTCCATCGTTGTTCTTCTAAGTACTATTATTACGCGATTCCCCAAGATTCCTCTTTTCTTTAAAGCCTTAAAAATGGCTTTCGTGATCTCGACCGTCGCCTCGGAAGTCCTTCATACAATATCAGGATTTATCAAATAATACATCCTTAATGTAAAAATTTATCGTTCAACTCGGGTAAACCGCTGGACTATTAGTCATTCGTTGATCGCGTATCAAGAGTGTTGTTTATGCAAAATAATTACATTTTCCGAGGTTGAATAATTGAGCGATTATTAAAGCGTACCGAAGGTAATTTTAGTAGCCGCGTTTCAAAGTTTTATAGCGATTTGTTGATCGTCCGATCAATTTATCGCGAAATCGTTTATCGTTTATCGCGTTAATTTCTGGCCTTCCGTGAAAACGAAAGAAACATAAGACCGAATTGCATCGAAACTGTCAAAGTTTATTCCTCGTGGCGACATTCAATCGGCGAACCTCATCATCGTTACTAAAGCTATTTACGTCGAGCGAACTCGAAGCCGGCAATATCGATAACCGATACTGCACCTGTTTTTTCCAAGCCCGATCTCGAACAATGCTACGTCGCGGAAACTATTACGCTGAATTAAAGACACACACCTATTGTTGTCAGCGACAAAGAGAAATCCTGATCTTTAGAATCCCTTGGTAACCGCAGAAGATATTCCATTGTGCAAACCGTTTGTTCTCGAGCAAGATTATTTTCGAGCTACGCTCGAATTTCGACGGAAACTTCTCTTTAATGTTTCTCTACTTGAAAAAACTAATAGCGATTTCATCTTACAAAGGCGGAAGCGGTAAAAAGGAGGAAGACGTTCGGTGAACTTTCGCGAAAGAAGGAAAAGCGATTCTTGTCCCAACAGGAAATTAGAGGAAACTTGTTGAATCGAATCGGTGCTATTTGTAAGGTATTTGTCGATTTTTCATCAGAAACTGTTCTGTCGAACAGTTACAATTGCCTGGCAGATTGTCTTTCATCGAATTGGCAGAATAAGCGTTTCCACGACGTTTATGGAATTCATAATATGTAAGGCTCTTTCCTTTGCTCGTAATTCACTCCTTATTTTTACGATTACTGCGCTTTTCTTTCGCGAGATCGTTCCAACGTTTTTCTTAGAATTATGCTACCCGATTTAATTATTTTACGGTCTTATTTCAAGAGAGGAATATTTATGCTTTAATAAAGGCCTATCGAGGCGTGTAACCAAGCGATCGGTTTGCTACGAGGCAAGCATCCCTTTGTACGTTTACTATCCCTGAACCATGAAACGCTTTCCCTCAAACTGTAAAAAAACAGCTTTCGGTCTAAAGTATTTTAGAAAAAGACGTCGAACGGAAGAGGAAGAACATCAATGTAAATGTCTGCAGAGTAGAAGAGATTAGAAACAAATATTCTTCGAACGAATCGTCTAAGTAACTCCGGATGTCTACTACATCCCTATAAAAAAGAGGAACGGACAAAAGCAGATACGAGCACAAGATGTCGAGGAGGGTCAGGTAATCTCGTTACCCGAAGCGAAGAAGAAAACGAGTAAACTCTTGTACCCGGGTGACAGATAGACACATCAATCGGTATAAAGAGAAACAGTAAAACGAGTTGCGGTTATCCAAAGAGAAATAAAAGGAAAAGCAATCAGCGAGTGCATATAGAACAAGATAAAATTGCGACACGGTATTGAAATGAAACACAAAGGAGAAAGAAGCGGAGAGTCGCGGTACGAACAATGGGTAAAAAGGAGAAATCCCGTCACTCTAGATTCAAAATGAAAAAGTATTAACCCCATACGGTTACGAAGCACAGTGTCAATAAACGAAAAAGAGGAAATAGACTGTCGTTGTATTGCATCGAACCGAGGCAGCGTAGAACAATTGGTGTTAGAAATATAATGCGTAAAAGACGAAATGGTAAGAAAACGCGATAGACGGAGGGAAACAAGATCTAGCGATAGGGACAACGAACGATACGGTGAGTCAAGTAACTCTGTTACCCTAAAGGTAGATGGGAAAGCGTTAATCAAGCTACAAAGGTAAAAGACAGACGTAGAAAGCGACAAGAAGCGAAACGAAGGAACGGAGAAACAGACTTTGGTTTAGCAGAGAAGGGAGCGAGCGTTAGAGGGGTGAGACAGGAAGGGGTGGGTGGCAAAGGCTTGCCGACAGAAGGCGCTACTATCAGTGTCGCAGTATCCCCCGTCCTGCCCGGCAGGTTACACCGTCGCCACTCCGTCCACATCGTCCCCAAAGGAACAGCGAGCACATGTAAACGGTGAATAAGAAACTGAAAAAGGTTGGAACGCGCGTTCGTTGTATCTCGAACAGGGCTAGCTCACGATAATACTCAGGTGATCGTTCGCGATATTTCTCTCGAAGGAACGATAAATTTCAATTTCGTATCGAGAAACACAGAAAAATGATCGAGTCAAGTGCAATGTAAAATCGTATCGTTCTCTTGTGGCTATTTTCGACTATAATCGATCGAAAGATCGTTCGGAAAGAACGTTCGGATCGTTGTTGGTGTCGTTACAGTTTGCCGATTATTGTCGGAGTTGAACAAACGTCGATTGGAAGCCTGGTTGGGATAGGTCGCGACCGACGAGGGGACGATCCTCGATCGATTCGTTCACGAGCGGAAAAGAAACGAGGGATGAGAGGTCGTAACGATGAAGGGAAACCCACCACCACGCTGGAAAATAGTGAACCAACGTGGTGAACGTGATATGTGAATGTGCATCCTACGTGTACCCAGGTGGAAACTCATCCATCCGAGGTTATCTTGATCAGGGTGTTTCAGGAAATCGCCCCTCTTTAATTGCGCACGTGTTCCTCGAAAGTCCTCTAGATGCTTGATTT